TGTGATATATTGAAGAGAGAGAGGAGAAGTGGTTCCTTTTATAGTGGAGATCAACGAAGTGAGAGAAAAATTGGGATTTATTTATAGTGGAGTTTGAGAGTTCTTTGAGAGTGAAAGGACTTGACTCGGAAAATTGTTGATACATTAGTATATACACTTAATTATTACTTTAATATCTAATACCCACATACACATTGGTACTACTCGATCGTGTAGAATAATTGTGTGTAGAAGCAATAAATAGACGAACATAGAAATCTAATAGATGGGTTTTGTAATAAATAATGAGAACAATCTTTGACAAAGTCACATACGTATATAAATTATATATGTGGTATCATTAAAAATATGCACCCAAAAAAAGAATGTGAAATCAATATTTGAGATCATCAATGGTTCTACGTAATTACATTTTAATGTGACGTATCTTCTTTTATTTTAACATCTCATTTCGTATTTTACGAGAAAAGGGATTTAACGGAGATTATTGAACAAAAAGTAAATTGTATGATAATGAGATACAAAAAAAAAGTAATGGACGGTTGAGATGAGGAGAAAAAAGAGTGTGGATCGTGATAAATATCTGACCGTCGCTTTTTCTACTAAGATTTCAATCATTTGAATGGAGTAGACACGTGGGAGTTCTTTAAAGATACGGCTCAGGAAGGCTTTAGCACGTGAGGAACTATTACCAACTCAGCTCGGCTCGGCTCTGTTTTAGCCATTCGCCGCCAATTGCTCTTTATATGAAGGATAGAAAGAAGAAAGTACGTATGCACGCACCCACCTCCTCTCTCCTCCTCTTTTTTTTTTTTTGGGTTTAATCATGTAAATGTTGTAGAAAGAAAAAAAAATTATTTAAATGTATAACACCAATTCTTATGCTTGGATTAAAGAACTGGATTTAAAAAGTATTAAAATGTATGCAAGATACATATGTTTTCAAATTCAAGTATTTAATGATAACTATGGATTTTTATGTACAAAAAAACTATGGATTGTTTAGCAAAAAAAAAACTATGGATTTATATGGAAACACATATTAAATACGCAAATTTCCACACAAAAAAAACATACACATTAAATGTATATAAAAAATCAGATGCATACGAAGATAAATAATCAAGATCTCAATCGATATCGACGTGATCTTACAAAATTACAGTTAAGCTTAGCACAAAACTACATTCATTATTTAATATCACACAACCCATTAGAGCCAAAATTCACGAAAATTTTGGGAACAAAAAAACTAAAACAATATTACTATTTTGGTAAGTCTTGTTTTTATTCACACATAAATTAGTTATATTCAATATTTATAGTTTTAACGTGTGAACATTATAACGCATATTATATATCGCTAATAAAATTTGGAAACTGATCATATTTTTTTGTTTTTGCTAAGTAAACTGATCATATTTACTTCACACTTGGAATAATTTAAAAACAAATACGAAAGTTTATATCACTAGGAAAACCTATTTTTATTTTGAAAAGTGCGTCAACTGAAAAAAAAATAGAACATTAAAAGAAAGATAGTGGTGAGAATTAGATGATGGTCTGCTTGAACCAAAATCAATTTAGCTGTGAAATGTATAGGGACCCAAAGATATATGTACATATCTTGAAATAGTGTGTTATTATCATTTTTTAGCTGTGTGCCATGGATTGAGATTTGAAACCTCCATATGCATATTTCAATCATCCATGGTTTATAATGTTGGTAATGGTGTGTATATATTTCCGATTTCAGTAAAAAGAATTACAAAAACCATATTAAAAACCATAATTTGGTTATACCTTTTTGTTTTAGTTTATCGATTACTGTCAATCAATGAAACGATGAAATCTAACTTATCTGCCTATATAACAAGTCCAATTCAATAAGATGGAGTGATGTGTTGTTCGGACAGAACGAGGAATAAAAGAAGTTACAGTGTTTAAACTTCACATCACATGTTTATGTTAGTCTCGTGCTTTTTAAGAATATATGTATATATAGCCTCATTTCACTTAGCTATCCTCTTAGACTCTTAGCTGTTTTACATTTTCAATAATTTTCTTCATATTGTATCTATAACCTTCGTGGTTTCTGAAAGAATGTTTTAACTCTATATAGTTTTAAGCATTTCACATTATTACATCGTTTCAAATGCATGTCAAATGTTACCCACGTGGTACTCACTACTAATAAAAAAAGCTTCTCAAGACTATACGTTATATGCAGTATATAGACTAAAAGTCAGAAACTAATCAAAAAGAGTTTCAATTTACTTGCTAAACGATAAATACTAAGGAGGAGAAGATACACATGGAATGCATCGAAAAAAAATCTTCGTTAGGGATACGATCAAAGTGATTAAACAATTAAAATGATTTGGTGTTCGAACCAATTGGGAATTAGTTTCCTATTCTGTAATAAACAAAAATTGCATGCACCAGTTTAGGGTTTTTGGTTATAACACGTACTTGCATGCCCCGATTTAAATATCATCGTTTTGGATATATCAAACCAACGTGACCATTAATATATTTGTGGACACAACACTCCACACCACAAAAGCCATTACTTTTTTATATAATATATAATTTCTAAATATAATTCTTTTTCTTTTTTCACTGGTAATTTTGCCGACGTGCCTATTTCAATGTCATTGACAGTTTCTTCTTTCTGGACCATTTTTCCACGTTGTTATGGGAAAAATTAAAGGGAATTTTTTTTCTATACCCAAAACAAATTAATGGGTAATTTTTAAAGGAGGTCATAGAAGATGAATGGATCTTTTGCAGGAGTGATAGTGATAACATATGTTTTGATCGATGTTGATTTCTTGTAAACGACTATAAACTCTTTTAATTTGCTTTAACCTTTAACCAAAAAAAAAACTCTTTTACTTTAACGATTTAAAAAAAAAAGATTGAGAGATGTAGGAAAAAAGTTTGGTTTACGCGGTGAATAAACATATACGTAGCTATTCAATTTTTTTTATCAAACATGAAAAACGATGATTCTGTTTACAGTTTTATAGTTTGTCTTCATGTAGTAGACCCGAATCTCTCACCTCGTGAACTTATTTTGTGTATGATCTTAATTACACCACAACTACGTAAACATATATGTAATCATTAGAAATTAGGAACTGAAATTAGGAATTTGGGAGTGAATAAAAACTTAATCTAATTAGCTAACTTTAATCTTGGTTCAAAAAGAAAAAACTAAAGACTAACATTCTCATTTTTTATACATATAGAATACCAATATTATAGTACCATATTATAAGTGGAATACTACCCTAAGTTTTTAATCCGATTATGAATTTTGTTTATAAATGTAATATCAGATGAGAACAAAATTAGCATCTAATACTGAAAACTGAATAAAATATTTTGGCAGAATATTTTGGCAGAATATTAATGATATATCGGTTCAGCTAGTAGCCTAGTACTACTATATATACATAATTTTTACAAAGTTTATAAGAAAATCTTTGTTTGAATTTCCCATTGCAGAAACAAATTGTTTGGAATTTTATTGAATATAAAGATCTGAAGTAGTAAAATCATGGGAATATAGAAAATTTAAG